GGCCCTAATCCGGGCTGGGTTTCGGGTTAGAAATGACAGCTCTAGTCTCTGGTGCCCATGTCCAGCAGTAACTGTGTGAGAGGTGGGGGACACCCTGGACAAAGTCGCAAGTCCATCACAGAGCAAGTCAAATATTCCTGAATAAAACAGTGATTCCAAGTCTTCTGACGCTCTTCTCTTCTGCTTTAACAATTTCAATTTAACTTTTTCAATTCAGTTTATTTATACAGCGCCAAGTCACAACAGAAGTCATCCCAGGGCACTGAACAGAAACATTCATTTATATAAAAACAAGTTGATCAGTTCCTCAGAGCAGAATCACAGAATGTGCCAAACTTCCAGCCTCTTTGGGAGTCTACGGTAAAACTTTTATTTTATTGTGATATTGTAGTTTTTTTGTTGTCGTTCGTTTCCAGGTCTCTGGAGCAGCTCCTGGTGTCTTTGCAGTGGGGCAGACAGCAGACTTACTACCCCAGTGCACAGCCCCTCAGCATGGGAGAGCTGGCTGCAGCCAATCACAAGCTGGCAGATGCCATCAACTCCCACCTGCTGGGGAAAAGCAGCAGCGGCGTGACGAAGAGCAGCGGCGTGACGAAGAGCAGCGGTGCAGCAGCTGAGCAGCTCTGTAGCACGCCAGCTGAGAAGATGGCTGAGAAGGTATCTCCAATACAATTCCTTACCACAACTTTTATTTTAATACGCCCGTCGAAAGATATGTATTGTGGGAAAGTCTCTGTCCATCAACTTTCTTTATTCCGGGTCGTAACTTCGAACCCACTCAAGATAATTTAATGAAACTTGATACACATTTGCACCACCATCAGACAAAGTGTCATTTGACCTTTCATCAGCCTAGCTTCAAGGTCACAAATCAAAGTCAAATGTTCTTTGGCTGTATGGACTAGAAGTTCTGATCCGCTCAAGATAATTTAACAAAACCAATACAAATTTCTACAATCACTACACGGTGTCACATAATCTTTTCATCACCCCAGCAACAAGATCAAGGTCACAAATTAAGGTCAAATGATATACAAGGGTCTTCGCTTCTCTGGATCATTGCTATAGATCGCTGTATAATAGTTTGTTGATGGGCATATGATGTGCCGTATGCGGTACTCGTCTTTAATTCTTGACAGAAAAATAATGTCACGTTTTATCTTTTTTAACCGTAGGTGCTGAAGAGTTTAAATCCAGTCCAGTGTTCAGAAAACAAAGCCGAGCCTCCGCTCTGCGATTCCACTTCCTCTAACTTTCTCAACAAGAAGAGCATCGGCAGGTTCCACCCTTACACCCGCTACGAGAACATCACCTTCAACTGCTGCGAGCGCTGTACTGGAGACATCGTTGTGCTTTGAAGTGAAAGAGGAGGAAACGTCTTCACCGGACTCTCTGGAAGCAGCAGAATTGACTTAATTTACAGCAGAGTCGTCATCGATGACTTGCTGGTGCTTCGAGTGGACACAACGCATTCATGTGGAGGTTTCTTTTTTCAGATATTGATTTAAACGCAGAGATATTGTAGGAAGCGATTATGAAAGTTTAGTCGTTTTATTTAGGAAATTTATTGCAGTAATTAAGACTTTTATCTCCACTGTAGCTCATTTTAATTGTTTGTGTCCAGGCTGCGCAGTCATGGTGAATCAGTGTTGGAAGACGAGCAGATATTCTTACTGAAACTCGTCAGTGTTTGTTTCTGCATTTTCCTTAACGGATACTTGTGTGAGGAATCAGACGAGCTGGGATACCAAGTGTGAGTGAAGGTTGACAGAACAGACGCCTCTCATAACGCTTGTTTCTGGAGGACAGAGCTTTCAGCGTTTGAAATGACTATTTTATCAATATTTAGTTTTTAAATGCAGTAAAATTTTGTTTTAGCGTGTTGAAAGTGCACCCGATGGTACGAGAAATTATTGGACAGTGTTGCAAATGATTTCTTTTTGTTATCTAGTTTGTATACTTTGTTTTATACGACTAAATATTAGTATTACTGCTGTTTCATAAAGCTGGTTGTACAATATTATGGTTTAACAGGAAAAAAATGTTGTTTTTTTCTCCTGCAGTGATGAAAAGAGATTTTTTTTTCCTTGTGAAAGTATTAAAAAACTAATTTATTTGGTGTGGAAGAGTAAAATAAAGACCAAAGATTTTTTTTTAAACCTTTTTAATATAACTTTTTTTGTCATTTATTCACTGTGCAGTCAGTTTACAACAGATTATTAATCGCTTGTCTCTATTTTCAAACATATGCGTCCTTAAGTTTGTGCAAGTCACTCGTCCTGCCACCTCGTCTTGGAACTGTTTGCACTTTTTCTTGCTTCCATTTTGCTTTTGAATGATGCCCGTACTTTGGTCTCTGGTGTATTCTTTCCACCAACAAATCCAAACTTTTTAAAAGCGTTCTGACTTTGAAAAGTCCCTCCCCTGTCTCTTTTATCTGACTTTATCAGTTCATCTTCATCCTCCCACCACACTCGGTTTGTGTAACTGCTGGTCTTTGCAGGCACTGTTTGTTGATGGCAGAAGCCGTCGTGTTTCCTCTTCGGGACAAACTCCAAAGCTTCTTGCCATTTCCCAGTGTCTTTGATCGTGAGCATGATATTTAACATCTGGTCCAGAGTCAGGTTTTTGCTTCCCAGATCCCAGTCCAGAAACTCATCCAGCGGTAGGCGAGCTGTAGCTAGTTTCAGACGCTTGGCGTTGGCCAAAGACGTGCCCGGCCTGAGTGACCGGTCTACAAGACCACCAATGATGTAGACCTTCGACTTGTCAAATGTGCGGAGAACATTAGGGGAGTCTGCAGTCAGGTACACGAGTTGTTCTCTGGGGAAGAGATCAATGTACTGCTGCTTAGTGCTGGTGATGAGCAGGTGTTCCCACATTTTAGCGCCATATTGCTTCACCAGCTCTTTTTCGTAGAGACCATCTGGCTGCACGTTGCAAAAGTGGAGGTGAAAGGGGTCAGTGGCACGCCGGTTAAACCCTTCCACCTTCATCAGCTGGGACACGGCGTTTTCCAACTCCCTCTTGGACATGTTGGAGTCGTAGCTCATATCGAACACAAGCGGCTGCCCAAAAATCATTGCGTTGGCAGCTCTCCAGTTCACAAGTTTGTCCATGGATTTGTCCCAGAATTGGAGAAACATTGTGTTTTTCAATTTGTGCCCTTGTTGATCATCTTCGCCGCTCATTTCTCTTTTCTCCTGTAAAAAGGCTTCTCTTTCGATCTTCTTCTGCTTCTGCTTCTCTTTGTGAGCCAGTTTGTACTTCTCCCGAAGGGACAGGTACTTCAAGTACTTTTTCCTGGAGGTCTTGGTGGCGAGACCTGCCAGAGTCTGCATCTCCAATTCGGTCAGCTCTTGAGGTACGAGCTTCCCAGCTAGTCGCCACATTGAAACGAGCTCACGAGTTGCCTCCATGGAGGAGCTGTCGTTGGAATCTGCTCCTGTTTGTTTCAGGCCGCCAAGTTCCTCACTCTGCTCCACCTCATTACCAAGTCTCTGTACCTGGAATGTTGCTTGGGATGTCATCACAGATTTCCATTTGTCCAGATCTACTGCTTCCGTTTCTTTGTTTTTTCCTCCACCTTCGCTGGCATCATTTTTTGCAGGGTTTCCTGTACAGATGTGGTAAACCGGGATGGACGGCGTGCAAAGTGTGTTAGGCAACTGGAAAGAACGAATCTCCTTCTGGGATGCCACAACTGCGTTTTTCAGCAGTAAATTACTGCATCTGGACGTGAAAATCCGTAACATTGTACATGAACTAAGTCAAAACCTCAAGAGAAGTCACTTTGCTTGAAAAACAACGGAACGGAAGTCAATTTGATGTCGGTACCTACGCGGGTTTCCCGGGGCTCCTTTTGATTAAAATATACAAAAAAAACCATTTGATTCTTGACACACGTCTCAAAAAGTCGCCAGGTTATGACCGCATGCTTCTTCGTTCACGTTTCCTGCTAACAAAAAGGTCACGTTGTTACGCGGTGTTACACCTAAATGTGTCGTACTGAAAAGTTGCAAGTGTCAAAATAACTGTTCTCAGAAACAGAAACTTAAGAAAAATTTTCATGATAAGCTAATGAATCGATTATTTTTTTTATGAAAGTCCAAATAACTTTTTTTATAGGCTTTAAAAGGTCAACTTATAGAATTATATTTGTCGTTTCTGGGGGAGGCTTTTATAACGTTGCACAACAACAAAGACGCCATTTCCTTCTTTTTCTAAAACAGGTTAAGCTAAATCTTTAGCCTCTAAAAATGAGCTTGTTTTTACCCAAATTGACTTCTAAAAAAGACATAGATGAAGTTATTAAAGGCGTAGCAGAGAAAGTTGTAGTTCTGCGCTTCGGGAGAGACGAAGACTCTGTTTGTCTGCAGTTAGATGAAATTGTAATCAGCTTTTTAACAACTTGTGACGTTTGTTTTTGTTACTAGCGCTAATTTTTCTTCCCTCTCTTCATTCAGTTATCAAAAACTGCCCACGACTTGAGTAACATGGCGTCCATCTACATAGTTGATGTCGACAAAGCTCCTATTTACACCAGGTACTTTGACATCAGCTACATCCCCTCAACAGTTTTCTTTTTCAACGGGCAGCACATGAAAGTTGATTATGGGTAAGTGGGGAGCTATTAATTAGTCATCATGCTTTCATGTTTAGTAAAACTACTTATATTTAGCAGTAAAAACCATTCTTAACAGAGCTGAATGCAGGAAACAAAAAGCTGAAGTCAAAGAAAATCTATAGACAAATTATTTGGTGGTTTTCTGCCTGTTCTCAATAAGGACGGGAATGTTTCACTTCTATAATTCATTATTGTTGATGCTGAAAAGTGATCCATCCATTGTCTTTACCCGCTTCTTCCTTTTCGGGTCGTGGGGGGTTACTGGTTCCCATATCCAGCTATTCACTGCGAGAGGCGGGGGACCCTGGACAGGTTGGAAGTCCATCACAGGGACAAATGAGCAAACGCTATTACTTTTTTGTCTTGGTGCTCCCACGTTAACCAGCTTCTTGCTTTGTCTTCAAAGCTTTAAAAGAGCATTAAGCGAGCCAGGCTTCCTGGGTCCCAAATACAACTACTGTACACATGCCTGTGTAAACGGTCATCTATAATGATGTCATTTATTAATTGATTTTTTTTTTTTTTCAGCTCTCCTGATCACACCAAGTTTGTTGGCAGCTTCAGAACCAAGCAGGATTTTATCGACCTGATTGAGGTGATTTACAGGGGAGCCATGAGGGGGAAAATGATTGTCCAGAGTCCCATCGACCCTCAAAATGTTCCAAAATATGATCTCCTCTACCATGGAATTTAAAAGCAACGCCCTCATCTGTATGGACTCATTAATAAGCACCAACTACAGTTTAGCAACTATGAAGTTGGCTGGACATGTTTTGATACGACAAGTAATGTTTCTCTGATTTAGAGACTGTTAAAAAAAAAAAAATCTAAACCATTAACCACAAAACACAAAGGATGCTCTTTTTGTCTTTTAAAGGCTCTTTGACATTCGAGCCTACGGATACGTTTTGATATATTTGTTGAAACGGTGCCTTTATGTTTTTAATTTTCCCATGGAAAACAGCTGTAGATTTGAAAGTATTTATCAAATGTAAAAACCTGTTTCAATAAACCTGAAATACTCCTGTTTTCTTCCTTAAGACTGTTTGCTGGTAAGTTGTCATTCTTGGCAGGTGACTTTTCTTGTGGAGTGTGTACAGTGCCTATGAAAAGTATTCACTCCCTGGGATGTTTTTTCTTTTATTGTTGTCATAACTTAGTCGTGGTCAATATAAATTGGCCTTTAAAAAAAAAAACCCCAAAAACTTTTAATGTCAAAGTGAAATTATATTTTTACATAGTAATACCAATTAAATAAAATTTGTAATGTGAAGTGATTGTCTTAACAAAATGTTGGAGAAAATCTCACTAACATCGTTTACCCAAAAGAACAGCAGGAGAAGATTTTGAACCGTTGTTTATACTTGCAAGTTCAGATTTTCAGGAGAAGTGACATAAAAATACATATTGTATATACATTGATGTATACGCATGAAAACCAGTCAGAAAAAAGCCAGAAGCTGCGTTAACCGCTCACTTTTATACTCGTCAGTTCAGCAGTGTTCAGTGGGTGTCGTCGACGCCATCTGCAGTCTCACGTGGCACTCTTGGCCTTCACAGCGTGGACATCTCCAGTTCAGGGTAACTGTGTTTTGGGAGACAATTCTGTTGTTTGTTCTCAGGAGCAAGAATGTTATTAATAAAACATCCATAACCTTTGACCAAAAATTCTCTAACACAAAAGTTTAAAAATAAATAAAATTAAGGAAATATAGGATTAGTCAGAGGATGGATACAAAAGCATTTCCAAGACCCTTAACAACCCCAGGCGTTCTGCTCAATCCATCATCAAGAAATTGAAAAAAATATGGGACACATAAATCTACCAGGAGCAGGCTGTCGTAACAAACTGAGCGGACAAGAAGAAGATGGTGAGAGACCATCAAGAAGACACATGCAAACTGAAGAGTTACGAGCTCCAGCAGGTGAGATGGAAGAGACTGCTCATACAATAACTGTTGTCCGAGTTGTTCACCAACTTCATCAGAGGGTGGCAACGAGAAAGTCTGCTGAAGCAAACATTATAAAATGTGACTGGAGTCTGTAAACAAGACAAACTACATAGGTGCTACTTTTTTTTTTTTTTTTGGTAACAGACTATGTGTAACAGCAATGAAAGCAAAAAAAAACATCCAAGGGAGTGAATACTTTAGGCACTATATGCTCCCTGTGCCTGCTTTGATATTCTCTGAATCAAATACAAGATCGTTTGTTAGTTCCTTGTTCCAAGCCTGATGAATGTGGGCATAACTTGTCTACAGTGTAAATTCAAAGGTAAGATCAAAATTATGACCAAAGTTGCTTATTTTACTGCCATTTTGTTCCCCAAAAAAAAATAAAAATAAAAAAAATTATGTTGAAATGCACAACAGCAACATTTTAATTTATAATACTGGAACTTTCAAAGATTTTTGAGTCTTAAACATTAGTAGAGCAGCAAACAATTCAAACAACAATTCAAAGTATATGCTGCGTGAAACACCATTACCATGTCCTGATGCATGCTCAATGATCCAGGTAGAAAAATCCACAAAAGTTCACTCTGGTCCTCTGGACATTCAAAAAAAAAAACCCAAAAAAGCAAAAAAATGTGGAAACGTTTCCACATTTTTTTGCTTTTTT